CCCCGAGCCCTGTGCCAGGTCGGGGCCTCGACATGACGGCCTGGGAGAGCCTTGCCTGCCCCTGGCCTCCGCGGTCCTCTCCGCAGCCTCCAGCCGAGGACCTGGCCCGGAGAACCCACAGATCCCCGTGTTCTTGTGGAAGGACCTCTGTGTGAATCATTATCATGGGTGCGGCAGAGACGTGGCTCTCAGTCCTCACGACAGAGCTGGACGCCAGGACCAAGTGTGCAGATGGGCCAGCGGCCCTTCCAACCCAAGACGGGCAGTGCCTGAAAGCAATGCGGACCAGGTGCCAGCATTTTAGGGGCAGAAGATGGAGTCTAATCTGGGGATCCCCTTGGACAGGCCCCTCCTGGCAGCAGTTGTCTCTGGAAGATGGGACTGCCTCTTCCAGGTGAGCACGCATTCTCCCATCTGCCCCAGCCAGCGCTGTCACCTCTGTGCCTCACGTCACCCCCCTGCCTGGGAGCATCTGCATTTCCCAGCCCGGTTTCCCAGGAACCTGCTGCTGGGGCTCCAGAACAATCCTGGTGCTTGGTCAGCCGACCATCCATTCTCGTTGTGGAAGTGGGGGCCGCAAGGCTCTCTGAGGCCCAGGTGCAGAACTGGCCCAGCGTCGTCACTTCCACCACGTTCTGTTGGACAAAGCAAGTCATGAGGCCAGCCAGGTTCAAAGGGGGGTAATAGGCTCCACCTCTGCATGGGAGGTGCCACCAAGCCACATCACACAGGGTGTGGGGACAGCAAGGGCAGCACTGGGGCCATTTTTGTCATCATGGTTTATGTGGTCCCAGGCTCACGAGAAGGGCTCAGTGAGCAATCGCTTGTATTTCAGGGTCTCATCCATCACCTCCGACAGCTCCCCACCTCCTAGCTGGGCTGGGATGAGGAGGATGGAGGGATGAGGGATGGGGCTCACCCTTAGAACACCCCAGGTGCCAGGGCCCCTTGGAGGCAGTGTAGAGCTCACCCCCTCAGCAGGAACCTGTCACCCCAGCTGTCATTGTCCCTCCACCTTTCATGCACCAACAGATGCCCTTGATTGTCATTGCTGCTGCTGCTGATGTCAGTGCTTCCGTGGCCACGTTTACACACCCAGGAGGACACTGTGCCACGGAGCTCCTACCCCACCCCCCCGCTCCTGGGAAGCACGAGGAGCGAGGAGCCTTGTTGAAGCACACGGTGACTGTTCGGTAAATTGAGTCCTGTGGGACGCAGAGCCATGATGCCGTGGAGGGGCCTTGTCAGGGAGCAGAAAGCCCCAGAGGTGGGTGAAGATGAGACGAGCGAGCTGAGAGCTGAAGTCCCCGCATGCTAGGACAATAACGGCCTGCTGAGCCCCCCGACGGCCCCAGCCATCCTCCCCTCACCCCGCGGGGCCCTCCCACAGGCCAGGTGTGGATGGTCAGGTGCACTGTACCAGGGGGGAAGTTGAGACCAAAGAAGGGAGTGGCTTGCCCGAGGCCACTCAGCCAGTTAGAGGCAGGGGTGATCCTGACTTTGACTTCCAGGCTTGGGGTGTGTGGCTTCTCCCCATCTTGTACCTTTTCCAGTGGTTTATTGATTATTCCATAAAACCTTGGGCTGAAGTGAAGGCTGCTTTCACACCCCATCGTAGAGGGTGCAGAGAAGAAAGGGGTGTGAGGCACAGCCGCCATGGCCCCTCACTACTGGGCATCCGCGTTCCCTCCTCTCTTCTCCCCTCCCCCACTCTGCGTCTTCTTGCCTTGGGTGGATCACATGCTGTCACAGCTCTGCACTTTCATATGTGCTGTTCCTTCTTCCGGAAATTCTTTCCCCACACTCTCTAGACTAGCAAACTCCTACCCATCCTACAAGACCCAATCCAAGTGGCACCTCCCTCTAGGAGCCCTCCCTGACTCCTCCAGCCCACCTCAGGTTCCTTTTGGCTCTTCTGCTCGCTGTTTTTAAAAGACGGTCTTTGCCAGGTGGGTGGGGCTGTGGGGAAATAAGCACCAGCTCTCAGTCCCTGCTGGGTGACAGCTGGCACAGCTCCCCACAGGACGACTCAAAGTCGACTGTCCTCCAGGTCTCAAGTGCACATGCCTTTGGCCCGACGATGCCAACTTAGGAATGTGTTCCGCAGTGACCTCACTCACATGCTCAGAGGAATCCTAGAAACTCTGCCCATGGGACCTCCACGGCCAGAGATGAGGTTGGGTGGCTCTCCATGGACTGACAAAGGTGACCCTCAGGATAAAGGAGGTGTCGAAAGTTGGCACAGAATGGTGGACATGGACGTTCCCAACAATGTGAAAATGTGAGGGAATGCGCAGAAGTGTGCACTTGAACATGTGTAGACTATGTGCTTCCGGGGGATACACTCCAGATAACGTGGAGGTGGGTTCCTCCGGGTTTTTATACCTCCTCATGGATATTTTACCCTTTTACACAGTAACAATAGCCAAGGGGTGGGAGGGAGATTGACCCTATAGCCTCTTGTAAAGCTCGGGTATTGTTCTCCAGGCACACATACGGCCTTTTCAAAATATCGCCATGCCAATAAACCGACAGGGAACGAGTACTCTAGGGGTCTCGTAATCTCCGTGCATATCACCCTCTCACTTCATCCGGCATCCTGAGGGCTGGGACCATGTCTGATCGATGCCCACACCTCCACCCCCACGTCCTGCCACCATGAAGGGCTTAGGAAGCATCTGATGGATGAATGGACGAGATGGGGAACGAGAACTTGAGAAGCCTGTGGCCTCCCCGGGAGGCGCAGTCTCTGAGCTCAGAGGTGCCTCAGCACAGGTGTCCTCCCCAGAGCTCTGCGGGCCTCCGGGCACCCTGAACCCTCCCCGTCAGGAAGCAGGGAACAGCCAACAAGGGGGCTCTCTCCTCCCCCTCACATGCACCCCTACCTTTGGCATTCCTTTCCTGTCATCACTCCAGCTTACCCGACCCTTTATTGAGAAAGCGCAGACAAGTGGCAGATGGTACATTCAGACACACAGACAAAAAGTGGTGGAACGAGCCAGGACTCAGAAGCCCCACTGGGCCACCAATTTGCTGATAAGCCCTGGGCACTTCTCGTCATCCCTTTGAGCTTCACCCTTCCTCATCTGTAAATGGGGAGACGAGTCCCCTTTCCAGGCTGCACTGAGGATAAATGAGGTCACGTGCGGAAACACATAGAAAAGAGGTGGTAGATGCACGGAACGTCCTTCTCCACTCCCTGGTCCCCGACTCAGGGATTTACCAGCATCTGTGAAGACCACTCTGGCACAGAGACACTGCTAAACAATAAACGTTATTAGAAAACAATGTGTGTTAGAAATATAAAAGTAGCCCCTAGAAAAATAGAGATAGAAGGCATAATTTTCAAAGCCGTAGAGGGAAAAAAATGGAACAAAGATAATTTGATCAATTTTAAAATGAAACGCAATGAAATCATGATTAACTGAAAACATGAAAAAAGATGGCCAAATGAGTCCAAACAGATCAATGACTACAATAAAGATTAATGTTTTCAACTCTTGTATTAAAAAGGCAGAGACTCTCAGCCAGGATTCTCATGACGCCCAGCTGCGAGTGCTTACAGGAAGTGGAGCACCCCAAGAGCTCCCTCCGTGTTGGGGTCCCTGCTTGCCACCTCCGTCCCCCCCTCACCTGTCCTGGTACTCCAGACCTCCAGTGCTCAGAGCTGGCCACCTTGCTCCCCACTCTGTGGTCACTCCAGGTGGGGCTGGTTGGTGAGCGCAGTCACCTCCTTTCTGCAGGTCAGGAAGGATGCTCATCCCTCAGCTGTCCCACCGTCCAGAAGCAGGTAACTGGCTACCAAGTTGCCACTTTCAGCAACTCTGAGAGCAGCTGCACACACTAAGGTGGGATGGAAGCCACTCCTGGGGTCTCTCACGCACAGCACCAAGCTCCTGGAAGCCATGTGCTCAGAGCATGGTGTCAGGGCTCAGGCCTGTTTCAAGTGCCCGTGGTCCACTGTCCACTGGGCCTAAATGGAAGACGTTGATCTTCCCTTCAAAGAAGGGGGAGAGGATCAGAAAAAGGAGTCCTCAGAGTTAGAGCATTGGCACCAGAGCTTGTCTGGGCCAACACTCCCTTACCGCAAAGGGGGAGTATCAGAGGGGAAGTGACTTGTCTGAGGTCACACACCGTGTCAATGACAGTCACTTTGATGCAACCCCAAATAAGGGCATCCATGCTGCCTTCGTGAATTTTGCTGTTGCTAAGTACTCGCCAAACGTATATTTCATTTTTTTCTTTAAATAACGTTTTTTCCACAAAATTATCTTTAAGTTTCCTTACCAAAAGCTATGTGGTCTGAAATGAAACTTCGTATCACTTGCCATAATCAGAAGGTAATGCATGAAATAAAATAGGATGGAAAAGATGTGGATTTCTCATCAGAAACTGCTGGCGCTGCGCCCTGAGCGTTTGAAGCCTGCTCCTTCGACACTGGCAAGTTCTGGGGAGTGTTCGAGAGCTCTCAGCACCTCGCTGGGCCCTTCTCCTTCGCAGCGTCGCCGAATTGAAAGAGACGCAGACAAGGAGGTCCTTCTTCCCTGTCGCTCCGTGTTGCTCAATGCGTTTCTGTCCACACCCCTCAGACACCCTTGTGGACTTGGTCTTGGGTGTGTTGGGCCCCACAGGGCTGGTCCTGACCCCCGTCTCTGCCTTTTCATCTGTGACATGGGGATAAGAGTACCGCCTGCTGAGGGGCGCTGGAGGCCTCGAGATTCAGTGAGGTCACATGAGTCATGGCACAGCGTCCTCCTGAGGGACTCTCGTTGTCACCACAACGACTGAAGGAGGGGCAGCTTCAATAGTCCTCCCTGTAGGGGACAAGCACAGCAGACGCCACCCCACCAACGGCCCCCTCCTACAGATGGGAAGCCTGGGGCCCGAGCCCAGGCCTCCTCCCTGAGAGCCCGGGTGCACAGCATCTGCAGCCCCCGTCAGGGGCCCCAGGACCTGTCTGAGATGGGAGGGGGGAGGGAGGAAAACAGCACACTGAGACGTCAACACGAACGGACGTTTAATTAAATGTCCACAGGACGTAGCATTAGTCAACTGTCAAGTGTGGCTCAACTCAGCTCTTGTATGGTTGTACACAAATTCTATTTAATGAGGCACGTGGGTGCCATTTAATATGTTTGATGTGACGCGGTGTGGATATGCCAAAACAGGACCTATCGGAAGTCTTAAAATAGCCCTGCTCAAAAAGGAAGGGGTTTGCCAAAGAGCCCGCATTCCTTCGTTCGTTCCTCCGTTCCTTCTGAGCCCTGCGTCTGAGCAGCCAGCGGAGCCCACGTCAGGGCAGCTTCTGCCGAGGGGCCTGGCCTCCCTCTGGCCCGCAGTTCTCCGTGTCCTGTCCTCAACTTGATTCTTCCCTCCCTCTCCTCCAGGACAGGGTCCCTCCTGCATGGGCAAACAGGGAAACTGAGGCTCAGAGAGAGCCAGGCTGGCCTGAGGTCACAGAGGTTCCCCCAGTCAGTGGCAGAGGGGGGGAATTAGCACCCAGACCTCGGAGCTGTGCCCCTCCTGGAAGCAGGAGGCCTGCGCCCCCAGGGACCTCTCCCGGAGCCTCAGGAATCTTTCTTTACGTGGCTGGCCCCGCCTCCCCTCCCAGAAGTGTGCAAGGAAGCCCGTTACAGATTCATGTGGCACCGACTGCATTTCCAATTAAGAGAACACGGTTGTTCTAATTTTAACTTTGTCGCACACTACCGCCGCCCCCCCGCCCCCCCGCCTCCCCACCTCCCCCCTCTCACCGTGTCTATAAGGGATGGTTTCGCCTCCCGAGAGCATGATGCAGCGCCAGCTCTCTTGTCTGCTACTTGGGATGAGTCATCCTTTGGAGGGCTCTTCATAACGTGGGTGACTTGAATCGCTTGTTCTGGGGTCCCTGACAGACGCTTCCCTCATTAAGCAAAGAACGCCCACCCAGTTAGCACCTGGACCAGGCTGGAGGCTGAGGCCCCGCTTAACCACGACCCTTAGAATAAAATCCAGCCGCCTCCCCTGGCCTGCCAGGCCTCTGCTCTCTGCTGACTCATCTCCTCCAGCTCTTCCCCTCCTCCCCACTCCCGCCCAGGATCGCCAGATAAAATCCAGGGTGCCCAGTTACACTGGAATTTCAGATCAACAACAAATTACTTTTTTAGTATAAATACGTCCCATGCAACATTTGGGACATACTTACTAAAAAAGCATTCACTGTTGATCTGAAATTCCAATTTCAGAAAGTTAGCTGGGTGCCCTCTATTTTTATTTGCTAAATCTGGCGACCCTACTCCAGCCGCACTGCCTCCTTGCTGTTCCACGATCACGCCGATAGCATCCGCCGCTCAGGGCCTTGACACATGCTTCTTCTTCAGCCTGGAACATGCCTCCAGCCCCATCTTTGCTGATTCCTTGATGCCGGGATCTCAACTCAAACGTTGCTGCTGCAGGAAAGTCTTCCCTGACCCCTGCTGCCTCCTCATCTCTCCCGCGGCCTCGTTCTGTGTTTCTCGTGGCATTTAGTGCTCTCTCTAAAATGACCTTACCTGTTTATGCCTTTTCCCGCTTCCCCACTACCATTCAGCTCCGTGGGAGCAGCCGGGTGTGCCCAGCAGAGAGCCAGGCACACGCATGTTTGTTGAATATTTCCATCATCCTTGCAAGAGAGGATCATGTTGCCCACAATGCAGCCGAGGAAACAGGATCAGAGAGGTGGATGGCTTTTCCTTGGTGTCCAGCTGGCCCTGCATATGCCAGGAACTCTTCCCAGTACTTTCCTTGAATTAACTCATTTAATCTCAAATCAGCCCAAACAATGGAGGTACTGTTATTGCCTCCATTTCTCAGGTAAGGAAACTAGGCACAGAGAGGTTCGGCAACTTGTTCATGGTCACACAGCACATGAGAAGTGCAGTCAGGATTTAACCCAGGCCTTCTGACTCCAGAGCCTGCACAGAGACAACAGTGGCCTGTCCAGCCCCTCACTTCACTCACTTAAATGTTTACAACAGACCCGCAGAAGCCCTGCCTCAGCCACACAACCCCAACATTCTCTTGACTTCAGCCATGTCCTTCCCTGCTGCCACCATTGCCCACCCAGCACACACACATGCCTCCTTGTTCTCTCCCTGGTCATCTTTGCAAGTGCTGTTCCCTCTTCTTGGGAACGCTTCTCTTTGTCCACCAGAAAAGCCTTTTACTGTTCCATCAAGATTCCTGGGCGTGTCCCTCCTCCAGGCAGTCCTCCTGACCATCCTTTCCCCCACACTAGGCTGGGGCCTCCTCTGACTGCTCCCACTCTAGCCGTGGTCTAAGCCTAGGCTGTCTCCATACTGGACCATGAGCTCTGGAAGGGCAGGGGTGGGTCGGAGGCCTCCCAGGGCCCAGCGCTCAGTGCAGGCTGGGCTGAGAGGGTGCGGCAAGTTCAGGATGGCGAGGACTGTTTCTCCTATCAGCAGGGAACCTTAGCAGCTTTTGTCCTCTCTCTCCCCAGCAGGACTTTGGTCACCACTCCAGGCTGTCCCTGGCCAACTAGAGTTGACTCCACGGGTATGAGTGGAGCATGGACAGCCGTAGAGTCAGGGTGGCTGGTTCAGGGAAGGGGGTCCAGAAATTGAATCCAGGTTGGGATTTGGGCTCAACAGCTCTCAAGACTCGTCCAGAGGAAAGCGCGTGCCCATATCTAGGAAGTTGTGCTAGGGAAGTAATCAGACCAGTGCACGGAGCTGTGTGCACGAGGGTGTTCATTTCAGTGTTGTTTATAACACGGAAGCGAGCTGAGCGCCCGTTCCCGGGGTCCTGGTTTAGTGACTTAGCTGCATCTGCGTCAGGCAGGGGCCTCTGCCTTGCTCTGCAGCTTCATCTCGCACCGTCTCCCGTGCTCTCTGCCTGCCGGCGCAATAGCCACACCCCCTCAGCTCGGCACCTTTGCACACACGGTGCCCTGGTCACTTCCCCTCCTCTCATTACTTGGTAACTCACTCGTCGAATCTCAGCCCATTCTCACTTCCTTGGGGGCCCTCTCGCTCCGGTCAGGTCCCCCAGCTATGAGGACGTCCCAGGAACCTGTCATATGTGCAGTGGTCTCTGTGTTGGTGCGATTCTTGGTTTATCTTTCTCCCCAATTGGATTGTAGGCTCCACAAAGGTAGGAATTGATCTGTTTTGTTCCCCAGTGTAAACCCAGAGCCTAGCACAGTGCCTGGAGCACAGTTGGGATTCAATGTTTGTTGAATGGCTGTATAAATTAATGAATGACCCAGACTTATTGACATGGCAAGATGCCATGCTATAGTTACATGCGTGAAGAACATAGGTTACAAATATCTGCAGCTTGCTGACATTTCTGTAAAAAACTATTTCTGTATGTGCATATATATACAGAAGAAAAAAATCTTGGAAGAACAGCAAATTGAAAACGGTGTCGACAGTCAGCAGAGGGGCCACAGGTGACGTCCCTTCGCTTCTTGTCTGTATTTTCTGCTTCAATTAACTCAGATTACTCTGTAATTAGGAAAGTGCATACCTATCACCTGGGGGTCTTGTGAAATGCAGGTTCCAATCCAGCAGTTCTGGGGCGGGGCCAGAGAGTCTGCATTTCTAACAGGCTCCCAGGCGATGCCCACGCTGCTGCTGCCGATGGGAAGACCAGAGTCTGAGTGGCAAGCCTGCAGGGTATTGTAGGGAGGAGGAGGAGGAGGGGGAGAGGAAGAAGGGAAATTTTAAAAGAGGGGGACCCCTGCCCCTGATGGAGGAGACAGCCAGGCAGAGAAGGGAGAAGAAACAGATAGAAGGACAGACAGACAGAGCCTGGGACTGATGGGGGCATCCCCGGGGCACAGTGCACCTGGCCGTGGCAGGAGGCGAGGAGGTGCGGCAGGTGGGTGGAGAGAGGACTCAGCATAATTCAGGGTCGGGTACTAGGGGCCCCTCCTTCAAGTGAGCATTTCTTAGTGACCAGTGGTCTCTGCAGGCTGGGCTCGACTCTTCTCCCAGAGGAGACACACAACTGCTGCTGAGTCCTTTAGAGCCACAGTGGGCGTGGTTGGTTCAACGCGGCTGGGTTTGGAGAGGAGCCGGCCCGCTGGCCCACCGGGCCCAACTTAGCTGTGGCCCTGAGGTCTCCTCTCTCCCCTGCCAAGGGCAGGGCAGCCCCTCGAGGTCAGCAGGTGTCCCCCCTGACGACCTGGCTATAGTGGGAAGGCTGGGGTCCGGGCATGGGGTCTGCTCCTTCCCAGGACCGTCAGCCCCTCAGATCTGGGAGCATCTGATCAGAACTGAGGGGACACTGAGGCCCGGGGTGCGGGGCACTGGCCAGACAGTCAGGACTGGAAGCAGAAGCCAGGGGAGCCTGGTCGAAGGACAAAAGGGCAGAGGTGAGGAGAGGGCACACATCTTCCCAGAGACTCCTGTGCGCTCCCCCTGGGCTGACCAGCGCCCTGCCGGTTCCCGCCGGGGGATTCCCCTCACAGGCACGCAGCCCTAGAGTCACCCCCCAGTCCCTCTGTAAACCGTCACGCTCCTGCTCAGGCACCAGCCACGGCTCCCGCTGCCTACAGGAGAGCTTTTACAGCTTTTTTTCTGCTCCCTCAAACAATTTTGGCAAGACTCTCTCCTCCCAACCTTTCTAAGTTGACATCTAGAATTTTGCATCCCACGTTTAAAGGTGCACAGTCCCCTGCTATCTGAAAGCAGAGCGTTCCTACAAAACCTTTCTTGAGCCGAAACGACGTCAAGCGAGGGAGCAATTGCCATTAATTTATGTGGGGAAAGTTTTGAGAGTTCTGAAACCCCAGGTGCTCAGAGACACAGCTCAAAGCTCCGGGGCCCGAGGATGAGATGCTGAGTGCGGCTCCTGGGAGGGGCCTGGGGCGCCCTCCTGCTGCTTGGGGCGCGCACCGCAAAACACACGCTGGGCTCTGGGCGGGTCTCTCGTAAAAGCGAAGTGGAGTGAAGTGAACTTTCAGATAGCGGGGGAAACTTGCACTTTTATTAATAGGAAATAGAACGTATTAAACACTTTACAGGAAGAAGTGCAACTTGGATTGACCATAATTAGAATGTTTTATGACATAGCTTGAGAAAATAAGTTGTACTTGTCAAATTAAATAACTCAAAATCTGAAATTGTGTGAAATTGTATTGAATGGGTCTTACCCATTTTGTAACTCAAATGAGAGAAAGCTAAGCGTCCGCGTGGCTTGGGAAGAATCGGCTTCACTGACTTCAGCTCTTCAGCTGTCCTGAGTTCAGAACATCTCCACCCAGCAGTGCTTCCCCCTGGGGAATGTCACAAGACGACGTGGGGGCGTGCAGGAAGCCTGCAGCTCAAAGGGTAGTGACCCCCGTCACCCCAAATCAGGGCTCCCCGCCATCCCCTACTTTGGGGGCCAGGCGCTTTTTATACCCAGCCGAATATGCTGTAACTCTCTTCCAAATGGGTAAGGATGCCAATCCAGGCCACCACCCGTTCCTCCCCAACGCTCAGTACTGTCCCCACATGAAGTGAGAAGCTCTGACCTTGGGCTCAAACCGGCCCCTCTGCTGAGACGCCCATTGTTCCAGCCCCTGTTCGGACTCACCTCCTACCAGGGGCCTCCTCCAACCCACCAACCTGGCACGGTCCCTCCGCTGAGGCTCCAGCACCTTCCATCCCATGCAGGAGCTGTGAGCCCCGGCTGTCTTCCTTGCTGCCCCTCCCTAGAGAAGTGCCGTCTGACTCACCGATCTGCCCCCCACCCTGCCAGCTCCTTGGGAAGATGCCAGCACACAACTTGAGCTAATAAATGTTTGGAGAATAAACACATGAGCAAGCAGGGCGTTGATAAAGGATGCCAACATCCCTTGGAGGTGATAACAGCAGCTCAACTTTCCCGGCTCAGGGAGCAAAATTACTGACTTGGCAGCCGGCATGAATCAGCCTCCGACTCCGGTGCCCAAGAAATGGCCCGTGATGATTTTCCTGTGATTTAGACTGTGAGCTCCCGTTCCCTTCCGCCCCTCAGCACAGGCAGAGAATGGCCTTCCGTGGTTCCTGAACATGGAAT